GAGGCTGACGAGTTGTTATAGGGCGCAAGAGTTTAGTAGGGTTTCGGTTTGGGACTTATGGGTTCAGGGTGTGGGGCAACCGGCGGCAACCCCATACCACCCTCCCGGGACCCTCCCCACAGGTGCATTGGAGCTCAAGAAATTGGAAGATGTTGCCGAGGCATTTCAGACTTGGTCAAAAGACTTCCCGGAGTGCGTGGCGACCGGGATCAAGCATTTGTCGGAGCAGCTGTCGACGGCCCCCACATCAGTGCAGGTTTTGTGTGGGGTCTACCACACCATGGCGACGGAGATCCTCGTGAGGGCATCGGCCGCACAGGAGGAGGACACCGAGGAAGCCGTTCTGAAGATGGAGTCGGCGCAGAAGGATGCGCAGGGCCTGGGGAAGTTCATGGCCGGCCAGTTGATGCTTTCGAAGAAAGATGTCGCTGGGAAAATTCAGTCTCGCCTGGAGAAGGTCATGAAGCTTGGGAAGGACGGGGGTGAGTGCAACTATTTTCGCTATATATTTGGAAGTACCGCTTAGGAGTACAATTAAATAATAAGGCATGGGCATGGGGTTTCTGTAAACTTACTATACTTCTAACTTCTAACTTCTAACTTCTAACTTCTACCACTACTGCTGCTACTGCTCTTATGGACCATGACCATTGACTACTAGTACTAGTACTGGCACTATACTACTACTACTACTACTACTACTACTACTACTACTGTTGTCATTGTTGCTTCGCTCCATGATGTCAAAGCTGGTGGCAAGGGCAAGATCAAGGGCACCATGGCGCCCCCCGCTACCACGCCCAGCAGGCGTGGTCGAAAAAGCAAGCCGTGAAAATCACGGCAACCATATCCGTGCTTGCAATGCGCCCTGAGTGCATGTTTCTGAGCTGGGTTTGTGCACGAGCTGAAGTGGTCAGCCGGTCCGGATTCTTGTGATGACTCAGTAACAAAACTCAACATAAAAATCATGATTTCGCGCAGTTCCGAGATGTGGCGGTGTTGTATGTGGTGTGCCACTGCCAAATCTGGGAATGGCTCGGAATGGCTCCCTATCCGGACAGTCAGTACGTTGCTTATCGTTCGTGCCGAAACTGCTCGGATAGCACAGGCTCGCCGAAGTTCACAGCAGAGCCTAGCCCACATGTCGTTGCGCCAGTACTCAATCAGTACTTGCCTAGTACTTGCTGTAATTGCAAACTTTTAGGAAAAAGGCCTGGGGTTAGCTTAGGGTTTAGGTTAGGGTTTAGGTTTAGGGTTTTGGCCTAGGCTTAAGCCGTAGTTTAGTGTTAAGGCTTAGGCAACTTAGGCTGCTTAGCTTGTCTTAGGCTGCCAACTTAGGCTAACGGATGCTAACGAATAAGGCGGTCTTTACGGTGCATGACATTAGAGTCTGACTCAGGTTGATTTTGGGGGGAGCCGTGTAGCTTCGTGGCAATGGCCCCAGAAGTGTTAGAATGCGGCAGAATCGTGTGGCGGCATGTGGGCAGGGGTGCTAGAGCACTTTGAACTGGGCATTTTGCCGACATTCATTTGTGAACCGGGTTGTGGCTTGTACAGTACTGTAGAGTTTAGCCAATAATCTGGCCGTGCCACCGATCTAGACGGTAGCAGTCGTACCTTGCAAGAGCATGAAGAGCTTGCCGAGAAGAAAACACAGTAGCAACGCATCGGTAGTCCTGAAGCTTCGAAACTCAAGTCTCAAACACATCAAACAAAGTCCGTATCATTATCGACTATCGCCTATCGCCAAGGTTCCCTGGAGGGCCAACAAGCCCAGGCAAAATTCGGCTGGATTTTGATTCTCGCCGGAGGCAATTGGGTTTGGACGACATGGTGACTTATCGAAAGTGGCCTTGATGCAAACAGTTTTGTGCAGGTAGCTTCTAATTTCTAATGTACAAATAAATATGTATATTTATTATAATATAATATAATTTAATATAATTATATAATATCATAATATAATATAATATAATATAATATAATTTATATAATATAATATAATATAATATAATATAATATAATATAATATAATATAATATAATATCATAATAATATCATATAATATAATATAATATAATGTAATATAATATAATATAATTTATATAATATAATATAAATATAATTATAATTATAATTAAATTATAACTACAAATATAAATATATAAATTAAATATAAAATATAAATATAAATATAATATACAGTATAATATAATTATATAATTAATATAATATAATAATAATATAATATAATATAATATTCCTGGATTTTGTGGTGCCGGCATCTTAGGTACTCTACCTGGTGCCGAAGCACGTTTGGAAAGCAGTGGTGTTTTGGATTGAATGCGCGCGAAGTTGAGCAGCTGGACTTGGTGTACCACACATTGACTTCTGTGTGGGCCTCAATAGTAATACGACATTAATTTTGATAGTCGGTAGAAGAGTAGAGAGACCTAGACCGAGACCGGACTCGATAGGCTGACTGATTGATTTAATATTATATTTGCATCAGCCGCCTTGGCCATTCTGAGATGGGGCGGAACCTCGACGATGTGTCTATCGACATTTCGAAATCTATGAGCAGAGAATCGTGGAGATTCAGTGGTGTCCTGCCAACGCACCCTGGGCACGTCGATAGTTCTGGAGACTGTTGCTATTTCTTAGTGATCTAGTACAGCTGAGGCTCACAACAAACTCCAAGATTTACGATTTTGGACAACACCTGCTCCTGCAGCCCCCACACCTCATGGCTGCGACCGGCCCTGAGATACTGAAATACTCATTCGCCTTGATTTGATGTATGATTCATGACTCGGTTCATGCAGCATGCATGAGTCAGAGTCTCCCTTGCAGACTCTTTGAGGCATGGCTTCAATCTCTCCAAGCTGTTGATGGGGGGTGATGTCCGTCGGTCCACCTACTCTCGAATGTGTGGTAATGCAATGTCGATCCCGGTCGTTGGTGCTGTGCTGCTGGCGGCAACTCCAGTGATATTTAGACTGATTTAGACTGATTTAGATTTAAATAATTTAAACTACTAATTTCATGATTTGCTCTGGCCCGTTGCCAAGGTACTGATGACCACCGGCGTGCGCGACGAGTACAAATATCCCCGGTTGCACTTTCGATCAATAAGTGCTGCTGAAGAGCAGGGAATGTCTCATGATGAGGAGGGTTCCCAGAGCGGCGTTTCCGATGCCGACGCTGAAAGCGACGAGTTGTGAATGTGATCTGAGTGATCTGAATGTGTTGCTGGCGACTGCATGGTGGCTATGGAAAGCGGAAAAAAACAAGTTCCGATAGGACCAGTCGGGCTAGTCGCTTCCCACGCAACCCAGCGCGGGCCATCGAAAGCACTGCGCCTGACACTTGACGACTTAGGAGCTCACCCCTAATCT